GCCTAAAAACATTAATTCAACCAATTTATCTAGAATTAATTTACCAATTAATTCACCAGATAAATTACTCATGAATTAATCAATCGATCTCTAATTAACTTTGAACCTTATTACGGAAATAACACAAGTTACCAATATGTAGTAAATACGCCGTATTGTTATAGGAGATTGTATGAGCTAGCAAAGGGACTTTGTGGACATATACAAATCAAGTTCCTATAATCACAACAGTACTTGTAATCCAACAAGTTCATCTCATAATTATAAACTCTAGCGCTACTCCACTAAGCGTAGAGTTGCACTCTCGATTCATATAACATATTTACAAAACTCCGAATAGCTCTCGTTCATGACTCATTATATTAGTGCATCATCCCCATAGGAATCCACAATCGACTTAAGCTCAAGTTCCGTTTTACCTTCTCGATTATAATTATCTTATGTTTCCATTACCACTCCATCAGAAAACCACTATCCATACCAATGCAAATAGTAAACCATTAGATAACATAGAATAGTCTAATGGTTGAGCGCTCATATTTTCCAATCCACAGATAATGCATAAGAGGATATCATTGACTTTTTATAGAAGTTATGGATTCCACTATCTATGAACAATGAATCTATGCACACAAGAGTCATACGCCCAACGTACCGTAAGCTTACCTTTACATAATGTCAGGATGTCTCTCTTTGGTACATCAAAGGATAAAGTCAAGCACACAGGTTCATTATCCATCTCAAGATTAAGATGACCACATATAATTTGTCAAAAATGAATTGTTTTATTCAAATGGAATTATTTATTAAAATAATTCAACTTTGTTCTTACCCAATATAGATTCCACCACTAGGAACTATATTAATATCTCAACCCATGGAGTCCCTCCTCCGACAACCAAGACAAATCGTCACTGTTAGGAAATAGAAAACATAACAATCTTAACATGAATAATGTACCCAACTTCATTCCCTCGATTGCGAATCACATTATTTAGACTTATCATCTTTAGATTCTTGTCTTCCGCATTTTCTTCTCATTACATACATGATCTAAAGATTTAGAATGACAGTCTCAGCTTTTCAATTTACTTATCATATATTCAACTAATATGTATGTAAAGAGGACAATGCATACATATATATATATATATTTGAAATAAATAAATCTTTATTAGTAGTCAAAATGTCTCAAAGAACATTGTTACACTTATTCCTAAGGCCATAAACGCTAACAATCTCCCACTTGTACTGAAGTGAGTAAATGTGACATGCTACACATCCTTATAACCTCGACATGCTTCTCAAAGGCCTTAGTCGGTAGGGCATTCGTGAATGGGTCAGCCATATTGTCCTCCGATGCGATCTTGTATATTTCCACATGCCCTTCTTCGATCAAGCTCCTTATCACCTGATACTTTCTGTCTATATGCTTACTCATTTTTTGATATCTTGGTTCTTTGGTGTTGTTTATTATCGCATTGTTATTACAGTACAGTCTCAATAGTTTATCCACACCAACAACTACCTCAAGATCCATCAAAAACTTACAGAGCCACAATGATTCTTTCCAAGCATCACTAGCTGCCACATACTCGGCTTCCATCATTGAGTCAACAGTGTAAATTTACTTGACACTCCTCCAAAGGACATAACTGTTAGTTTCTGAAACGATTTCGGATGTGGATGTTGGTTTCTGAATCAAATTTGGATGCGGAAGCATGAGAGTAACGGATCGTGTATAACAAAGAATTTACATAAAACCTGTGAGATACTCTATAGATTATATTAATTAATGCATGAATAAATTAATCTCATTAATTTATTTATCAAGAACAAGATTAGGATTTATACCTACCAACCGATTAGGATGATAACTTGAGTTTTTTAACCTTGAGCAATCCTCGCTCCAATGCTTTGTTTAGAAAATCCGAGCCTTCCTCGTCAATTCCTTGTATCCATGAAGACGTGTGTGTGGGCACACCTAAAACAAAATGAGTTAACAAAAACACTCAAGAATTTCCACGAACACCAACGCATGCACGACATGGAATTTTTGGAGAAAAATTTTCCACTCACAACTCTTGTGAAAATCGGTCACTCTATATAAAAATTAGGAGCCAAAAGATTGGGTCACAATTTTTTACTATATCCTTATTTATAGATTAGTAGTTAGACTCCTAGAAGGAGTCTTGCCTTTATGTCCAAGATAAAGCTTATCTAGTTTCTCCCACTTTAAAATTGACTTTTTTTTTTTTAAAAACAAAATCTCCATTCCTTTTCTTAGATATGGCTGGCCACCAATTGGAATCCTTATCCCTATGGTAGGCGCAATCCCCACTTAAAGGATAAGGTAAACTTCTGTATTTATCCTGCAATCCAATTTTAACTCAAATTCAAATTCTAATTTAAGTCAAACTTAAATTAATTTGAATTCTAAATTGAACAACTTATCAAATAAATTTAAATGGATAATTCCATATGTGTTAAACATGTGCCTTGCATTCACACTATGTGAACATGTAGCGCCCTTAAGAATTAAATGTGTTTAATTATGCTAAATGTGGTTTATTAGTGTGCCTAAATTTGATTTTCTTAATTAATTAAGAATTTTGAGCTTACTTTCAACATTTATAATTTTACCCTACAAGTGTGTGAGAATACATGCTTCCACCCCTCTTTACTTTTATTTGTCTTTCCTTATTATTTTCTTTTCCTCATTTTATTTTCCTTTTCTTCTTTTCTTTTCTTTCTTTCTTTTCTTTTCCCTCCTCTCCCGTAACCCTCTCACCGAGCTCTCTCTCTCTCTCTCTCTCTCTCTCTCTCAATGAGCTCTCTCTCTCTCTCACCCATCTCTTCCTCTTTCTTTCAAGTTTTCCCTCTCTCTCAAGGACGTTTTTGAACCAGATTTGAAGAAAAATGGAGACTTTTAAGAGATTTTCAACATCAAAGCCTAGATCGAGGTAAAACTCTTTGAAACTCACTTTAGATTTTTAGATTTAGCTTTGTGGAGCTCGTTTTGGGTCGAGTTTGGTGATTTTTAGTTTAAATTTGTTTTCGAATGGATTTCGAATGAAATTTGATGAAATCTTGATAGAATTTGGGGGTTTTTGATTCTTTGAACCCCATTTGTTGATTGGAACCTGGATTTATAAATTTCCTTTGAGAATATGTCGAAATCGAACCCTAAATTGCAGGTTTTGGCTTTGTCTCTCGCTGATCAGTCATTTTTGGCCCTGGAGTTTCATCCCACCGGTCGACCGGTCACCCTTCCATCGGTCAACTGGTGGAGTTACACTCCTCTATCACTGGTCGGCCGGTTCACACTAAAAGAACCCGAAACTCGATATATACCTGACACAACTTCATTTGAGCACTCAAAGCCAGTGGATTAACCACCTCAACACTGGTTCCCATTTGATTTTTAGAAAGAATTTCAATTGTCAAAGAATCGTGATTTGAATTAAGAATTATTAATAAGCTTGATTTTGCTTAAGTTAAGGCACACTAATATGATACCATTGTGCATAATTAAACAAGAAGGTTTAGTGAGAAAGATTGAATCCTAAACCGTTGACTTTGGTGATGAAGTTAGTGGCACGATTGGAATTGGAGGTTCAAAGGCAAGTGGAGCTAGGGCTACGTGAAGATAGCCACAGGTTTGATATCCAAGAGGTAGGATATTCTTGTCCATATCCTTGTTAGCCTCACTTTCAATGGTTTTGGCCTATGAAAATGTTTCGGAACAAAATATGTTTAAAGAAAATGATTTTAAAGAAATAGCATGCGAATGCTATTAAGTTTTTCAATGATTTTGGAAATGAGATTTTAAAGAGTATGATTTCTTAAAATGAAATATCTTAAGAAATAATACACCGCATGGTGACCACAGAGATCGGGATATGGGAATCATATCCTTGGGGGCAGGTCCCGAAACCAGTATGGAACCACTTCTTACTCAGTGGTAATATGGCTCTACATTTTTCACTAGACAGACATTTTACCACTTCTTGCTCAGTGGTATGATGATTTGCACACTTTCATAATACATATATTTTCTACTACAATGTGAGTATCTATTTTCTTTAAAAAGTGATGATCGGTTCTGGGTGTATGTCTTCAAACCGTGAGTACCTTATTTATTATGTTTTATAAACTTATGTCTTACTGGACCTTCTGCTCACTTTTTCTATGTTTTCAAATGTATTAAACCCCTCCAGGCGACGCGAGGAGTAGTGCGGATTAGGCAGCTACCACCGGTGAGGTGAACTCATTCCTGATAAGTGAAGAATTGTATTTCTTCTTATCCTTTATCCCAAGGCATGTATAGAATTGTGGATTGTAAACTCAAATATTGCTAGACTGTGGTTGATGTCACATTTACTTTTGTTTAAATTCATGTATGCTAAACCTGTGGGAATTCCTGACATGATACCAGGGGCGATGTTTTAAACTGGTTTGGCTGGAAGTTCCACCTTTCTTCTTGAAATTAAATTTCTCTTAATTGCAGGGGCTTGTTTGGAAATTCTTGGATGTTTTAGATTTGAAAAGTTAAATTTTAGCATAGTTATTTGCTAAACACTTTCTTAAATAGGTTTAAGTTTCTAAACAAGCCTCCACGTCACTAACCCCTATTTGGGGGAGTGACAAGACATGGTATCATAGCGCCCATAGTTTAGAACCTTAGGGTTTGGATTATGCATACATGAATGACATCAGGGAACCACTAAAATGCTCTAGTTTTCTTTTCAGGTAAGAGGATGCCGCTGCGCCGTAGAAACCCTAACCCACCGGCGATGCCGAATGAGCAATTCATGGAAGCCATGTATGCAGCCTTCCAGGGGATGGCTACTAGAGCCCAAAATGAGCGTCCTGCAGAGGACAGAAAATAGAGCTACTTCCGTGAGTACAGGCGTAGCTCAATTCCCACATTCACTAGCGTGGGTGGACCCCAGGAAGCCGAGTATTGGTTTGAATCGGTGTCCAAGCATCTGAGTACCATGGGAGTACCAGATGAATACTGGGTGGAGTTTGCAGCTTTTAAGTTTGAAGGTCCTGCTGGTGCATGGTGGAAGCATATCCGGTGAATGCATGATGTAGAGGGGATGACTTGGGGACAATTCAAAGCGTTATTCAATGAACAGTTCTTTCCTCAAAGCTATCGAGATGAGAAGGCCATGGAATTTATGGGCCTACAGCAAGGGGACATGATAGTGAGGGAATACGAAACTAAGTTCAACGAACTATCCCGTTTTGCTTCTTCACTGATTGAGTCAGAGCACATGAAGTGCCTTAAGTTTGAAAGAGGTCTTAAGTGACCTGGTTGCAGCAGCCATCTCTGTCAAACAAGAGCACGTCGCCTTCCTCCAGAGTCGAGAAATTTCAGGAAGAACTTTAGGGGGACCCCAAAGGAGTAACAGAAAAAGCCGTGATCAGGGGCAAGGTAATGGGGGAGTGCCTAGTGGTAGCAGTGACTCTTTGGGGAGTGGGAATAGTGGACCCTATAGCTTCAAGTGCCACCATTGTGGGGAGCTAGGGCATATCAAAAGAAACTGTCCTCTTAAGAGCCAACAGGTGAACCGACAGACCCAGCAATCACCACAGAGTCAAAGGGGTGTTGCTCCTAGTCAAGAAGACTCCCACAGTTCACGCCTTTTTATCAGCCCCAGTTGCCTGCTGATAAGTGCATGAAAGTGCACCTAAATTGTTCATAATTGCTAAATAAATTGAGTTTTAATTAAATATTTTCGTGGAATTAATATTTTGTAAAAGTATTTTATTTTAATTTAATTTATTTTGTTTTGTAGGAAAATAAGACACTTGGGCCAAAATTATAAAGAGAAAGTGAAGCCCAAAGCCCATCTGAAGCCCATCAGCCCTTCAGCCAGCTGTCCGCCGAGCCGAGCCGATTGGAGCCGAGCCGCGCGTGCCTCACCAAGCCGCCACGTGTCGCTCTCTGCCGCATCACAGATTAGTGGGCCCCAGCTGCACCGGTTCCCACATGCGCTTGGCGCACACGGTCCTCCTCCCCTGGCAAGTTCTTATCACGCGTGCGTCAGGCATTTTCCATCCAATCTCCGCATGGGTCCCGCCTTGCAGCCATTCTCCAACCATCTTCTGCCACATGTTCTGGGTGGGCCCCTGCTGCCGGCCATTCTTCCTCTCAGCCAACCAGCCCGCGCCACGTGTCGTGTCCGAAACAATTTGCATCCGCGTTTTCCAAGCGTCTGTCCTGGACGAATCAAGTTGTGCCACATGGTGTTTTCTTCACTTGCTCTAGCCGTTCATGCGAGATTGTTCATCAGTTGTATCCATTTGTGATGGTTTTTCTTCCCATCATAATCAGCTTTTACTCTCAAAATTAAGACTTGTAAATTCTGATTCAATTAGGATCCGTTTGTGCTCTTTTTTTATTTACTTGCTGATTGTATTTTTGTTTAACATGGCCTAGAGACTCTATAAATAGGGCCATGTCAAAGTGTTTAGGTTGTTGATTTTAGAGCCTAAATTCTCACACATTTTCTCTTATTTTCTTGTTCTTATTCTCATACTTTTTTAAAAAAATTTTATGAGAATTATGTGCAAGCTAGGCTAGAGTATTTAGGTGAGGCTAGAGATGATCCTATATGTGTAGTGAACTTGTTTGGATTTTGATTCTCCAATGATTTGTAAGTTTTATACATTCGAGTAAATAATCTTCTTTTATCATATTTCTTCCTCTTATCAATATATTTTATTGTCAACTTTCATATAAATCTAGTGAAGCACTTTTTATGTGATTGTTGCATTATATTATATATTGATAGGTATTATTTTATGAGTAGTCTTTTACTGCAATATTGCCAATGGTATATTGTCGCTCTTAGATTTCTCATAAGATAATTTTTCTTAATTCTAAACGTTAGAATTTTATTTACTCGAATACATTTTTAATTCATATGTTCTTCAAATATTTATTTTCCGATTGATTGTTTGGGATGTGAAACTTTCAATTGAGTCAATTTATGAATCAAAATCTAAATAGGTGAACAAAGCATACGGAGGATTCTCAAAGCCTTACCACTTTTTATTATTGAATTTTTTCCATTTTAAATTGTTTAAAAAATCATCAAAAACACTCATTCCTTTTCTTTGTTTGATTGCTTACTTTCCTAACGCTTTTATTTGCTAGTCATTTCTTGTTCAATTTAACACCTCCTTGTGGGATCGACCATTCAAATTGTACTACAATTGACCGCTTATTTTTGTACACGTTTGGGCATAATCAAATTTTGACGCCGTTGCCGGGGAGGTGCGACTTACAAGAGTAATCAGTAGATAATTAGCCAAAGAGGTAAGTACACTGTTTATTTATTTATTTTAATTTCACTTTATTTTTCTTTAGTTTATAGCCGTGTGTTTTTTATTACTGATTAATTAGTCAAGTTTTTATTTTACGTTTTTGTTAGTTTCATTGTTTATTAGTTTAATTTGGTTTACGTTTTGCTTTTACTTGTTTATTAGGTATATTAGTTATTATTCTAGTTAACTTCTTATTCATTGTTGCTTTTACTTGTCGTTTGTTGCTGTGTTGTTTTAGCTTGTAGCCAATTTTCATTTTCCCGGTTGTTTGTTAAGTTTTCTTTATTACTTTGTTAGGCTTTCTTTTGATTTATTTTGTTCTCAAAAAAAAAAAAAAAAGTTTCTGTTAGTTTGATTTTTCATTTACTATTATTATTAGTTTTCATTTTTGTCCATAAAAAAACAAAAAAAAAAGTTAATACATTTCCTTTAGTTTATTTGTTTTGCAAGTTTATTTGCTTGTATATAACTTTTATTTGTACATTTTCTTTTTACGTTTTACTTTGCATTTTGTTGTTAGTATTATCTTTTGTTTAGTTTATTTGTTTTATTTAGTTCTCTTAAGTTTTCGTTTAGCATTTCTATGCCTTTTCTCTTTATTTAAATAAAATAGCATTTGTTTTTATTTATTTATTTATTTTCTTTAATTAGTTTGCTAGCTTTTATTTTTGTTGTTATTCTTCTTTTAATTTGCATTTATTTTTCCTTTCATAACTAGAATTAAATTTATTAATTTTTAAGTTGTGCCTTTTAGGTGACCAATTTAGACATTAAATTAGAACTCTTAATTTGTCATAATTTGTATAACCTTAGGTTTTAGAATAGTATTAACTTAGGGTACTAATATCTGACATTTAACATTTCATAAAACACGTCATAAAATATGTCGTAAAACTTAATAAATTTTTCAAGCAATTTTGTGGAAACGTTGGAAAGTACAAACTAAGAGAGTTCTGTCTAGGAGGCTGGTTCCTGTTAGCGTTCTACGACACCAGTCTTTCCTGAGAACGTTGCTCTATCTAGGAGGTTGGTTTTTAAGGAGGCCTCGCCCCACCAATTTTTCCTGGGAGCACTCTTGGGGGTTGTGATTCGTGATTCTACATTATTGTTTTCTTTGTTTAAAAAAAATTAAAAAAATAAAAAAATAAAAAAAAATAAAAAAAAAAGTGAAACGCTGTAAAGTGAATGAATTGTTATAGAGACGAATTAGGGAGATTCACAATAAGACTGGAGAACCCTAGTGAAGTTTCTTCCCACACGTCTAGTGCTCCTTCGACCCCAGCCTCATTAACAGTTGTAAATCCGTTCGCGATGGCTCAAAACGAGGAGGTCCAGCAGAAGACGTTGAACGATTATCTTCACCTTACACGTATAGCCACACCGTCATGCATAATGTTTCCCCCTAATATGCCAAATTTGGATTTCAAGCCGGGCATGATTCAACTCTTGCCGACCTTTCACGGGTTAGAGAGCGAGAATCCATACGTGCATATTAGGGAGTTTGAAGAAGTGGTGGCCACTTTTCACAACCGAGCTGAAGCTGTGGACTCTGTGTGATTGAAATTCCTTCCTTTCTCTTTGAAGAACAAGGCTAAAAGCTAGTTGTATTCTCTGCGACCTAGGTCTATTGGAAGTTGGGAAGAAATGACGACAGCATTTTTCAACAAGTATTTCCCTCACCATAAGACCAATGGTCTGAAGCAACAGATCTCAACCTTTACCCAGAAGGACAATGAAACTCTGTATCAAGTTTGGGAACAGTTCAAGGATCTGTTAAATCAGTGTCCTCACCATGGTTATGAGAGTTGGCGACTCGTCAGTTATTTCTACGAAGGACTTACAATTCGAGAGCGCCAATTTGTGGAGATGATGAGCAATGGTGAGTTTCTCCAAAAGGATCCCAAGGAGGCTTTTGAGTATCTCAACGAGTTAGCCGAAAAAGCCCACACTTGGACCGGACCTAGTGCTACTGACAGCACCAATAGGTCCCGACCGGTTGGAATCTATCAATTAAGGGAGGAGGACAACCTCAAAGCCCAAGTCGAATCTTTGACAAGGCAAATCGAGGCCCTCAAAGGCAAAAAAGGTAGAGGAATCCACACGGTCGCAAGGGCAGAGACACATGAGCCATGCTTTGTCTATGGTGGGGTGGAACATTTAGCTAAGGATTGTCCTGCTTATGGTGAAATGAGAGGGGTTTATGAGGAGCAATGCAATGCCTTAGGGGCATACAACAAACCCTTCTCTAACATATACAATCCTGGCTGGAGGAACCATCCAAACTTTAGTTGGCGAGATTCCAACCAAGCACAACCATCAGGAGGACAAGGGAGAACTGAGCACCAGCCACAACCACCAAAGGCGTATTCTGCACCTCAATACAATTCGCATTAGCCAAGGAGTTCTCTTGAGAACACCTTGCAATCTTTCATAGAGGTGCAGAGGAAGACGAATCAGAAGTTTGAGTCACTGTTCACGCAAATGGTGGAGGAAAGTAAAGAAATGAAGAGTCAAATCAGGAAGCTGACTGGAGCTTTGGCTGTCCAAGAATGCGGCAAGTTCCCTTCACAAGCTCAGTCAAACCCAAAGGGTCAACATATGGCGCAAACCTCATGTCCTGATAATCAAAATGTTACGGAGGTGAATGCCATCAATACTCGTAGTGGGAAGATTATGGAAGAATCGTCAACAAGTGCCACCACTTCGAGTAGTAAGGAAGTTGTCCCTAAGAAAGATGAGCCAACAAATGTTTTGGTAAAGGTGCCTTTTCCCCAAGCTCTGCGTCCAACTGGGAAAGTACCGAAACACCAAAGTGAGATCCTAGAGCACTTGACTCAAGTAAAAATTAATCTTCCTTTGCTTCATGTTATCAAGCAAGTACCTGCTTATGCTAAGGTTATCAAGGATCTCTGCACTATCAAAAGGAAGCACCATGTCAAGAAGACAGCATTCTTGACAGAACAAGTAAGCGCGGTGATCGACCAGAAAACACCGCCCAAGTACAAGGATCCCGATTGTCCCACAATTTCCTGTCAGATTAGGGCACATGAGTTCAGCCAAGCGTTGCTTGATCTAGGAGCGAGTGTTAACCTCATGCCATACTCTGTCTACTCGCAACTTGGTCTTGGAGAAATTAAGCCCACATCTGTGGTTCTACAGCTGGCTGATCGATCGATCAAGAAGCCTCGGGGGATAGTTGAGGATGTTTTGGTTCAAGTTGATAAGTTCTATTACCCCGTTGACTTTCTAGTCTTGGATACTCAATCCGTGGTGAGTATGGAGTCCAAGATTCCCATTATCCTCAGAAGACATTTCCTTGCTACAGCCAATGCTCTCATCAACTGTAGGAA